AATGATGCCAAATTTGCCAAAAAATTAAAAAGTGAGTTGATTTAAAAGAAAAAAAAACACCAAGGGGCATAATTTGATAGGTGATATTCTGACATGGTGGAAATACTGAGCATAAAGACCCACATGACCAATATTTTGGAAAATAACTACCATCCTGTTCTCATCTTACTCTCTGTAGGAGAACTCTGGACTTCTTCAGAATTGCTCAGAAAATAAATCTCTTCTCATTCCCATGTGTTCACCGTACATTCAGTGGGTTAAACAACAATCACCAAAATCTCTTTATTAAAGCTGATCAGTCAGAGGTTACATCAAGAGATTCAGATTTTCTATTTGATTTTATGGCCCAACAACGTGCGGTTGCCCATAGTGTTCCACAGACATCAATCAAGGGCATAAACCTGGCGAGAAGGGGCTTTTCAAATCTTTCTGAGCATGGGGTGCTCTTGAAAGGCTGCACAAATGACAAGGGACTTAGAACGAAAGCCCATGGAACACTGCAGCCACGAGGGAGCGGTGGGGCATGGTTCCAACCTGATGTAGCAAAGCTGGGCGTGTGCTGATTAGCAAGCAATTGGGTCTTGGCTCGGTGATTTGCAGGTTGGAAACTGCTAAAATATTCATGTACTTGACTGTGTCTCTTCCAATTAGACGTAATAAATGCAGATGTGGGTGACCATATGCTTTATTTTGATGGAATGGTTTTAACCTTTATGAAGTGTGTGTGTGTATGTGTGGTTTGAGTTCTCTAAGGCTGGCCTATTTTGAGATGAGCTGGTATTTTAAGATGCAATGTGATTAACTTTTTATTAGAGACTCCTTTTTGGGATCAAAAGAGCAAGTACTCTTAACTTTGTAGTTGCTCAGCTAAATTTTATTTATTATTTAATAATTAATTAATTAATCAATTTTTGTGGTATTAGGGATTGAATCCAGGGATAATCTACCACTGAGCTACATCCCCAGCCCCTTTTATTATTATTTATTGTTATTTTTTAATATACATATATATATATTTTTAGTTGTTGATAGACCTTTATTTATTTATATGTGGTGCTGAGAATCCAACCCAGTGCCTCACACATGCCAGGCAAGTGTGCTACTCCTGAGCCCCAGCGCCAGCCCCAGCCCCACAGCCCTTTAAAAAAATTTTTTTTTTTTTTTTTTTTGAGACAAGGTCTCACTCAATGGCCAAGGCTAGCCTTGAACTTTCCATCCTCCTGCCTCAGCCTCCTGAGTCTCTGAGTGACAGGTGAGCCAGGGCACCCACCTCATAAGGGAGGTTTTCTGGGCCAGGCCTCCCAGTGGCCACTTCTGTCCCCATTTTGACCCCTCAGCACATTCCTGACCACGAGGAAGGCTGGGAGAAGTGTCCAGTTGTGAGCCCTTAGTTTTCTAGACACCATGAAGTGGGCCGCAGTATATCCGACCGCTTATGAGTCTCACAGAATAAGAATGAGTGGATCTGATTTGATGTCATCGTCAGGTGGAGGAGACGTGGGAGGGCAGGTGCGAGGACAGGCTCTTGGTCCTGGAGGCCGGGAGTCCCCGCCTTGTCCTTGTCCACTGGCTCCTTTGGACCCCCCCAGCCAGCTCCACCAGTGTTTTCCCGATTTCATTAACATGCCACCAAGACACCCGCTCTGCGGCGTGCCACTTCAGTCCTAAGTGGGGCATTTTGCGAGATGAATCGGTCCTTTAAGCGGCAGCATCCGTCTGTGCGTATTTGCCTTGAATTCTTCCCTTGGCGACTGCGGCAGGGGCGTCGCCGGCACTGACCGGCTGTCGGGATTGGCCGGGCGGGAGGCGGCGACTGGATCTGGGAAGGGGCACCGCGGCCAGCCGGAGGCAGTAAAGGGGACAGCTGCCCCGACACAGAACCCGGGAGAGGCTGGCGCTGCTGGCCCAGAGAGAGGCCCACGGGAGTGTCGCTCCCAAGCCCCCAGGGACCTAAGGGCACCGACGCACCCAGGGAGGCAGCCGCTGAGGACAGGGGGCCCTGCCTAGGTGGCCCTCTGATGAGTCCCAGTGTCACCCAGGGTGAAAGCCAAAGTCCTCCCCATGGTGCAGGGCCCTGTCCTCTCTCCTGGTCCTGGCTCCTGCTTGCTCTCTCACTGGTCCTGCCCCACGGTTTCTGCGGCTCCTGGATCAGGCCAGGCAGGACCCCTCCTCAGGGCCTCCGCTGTCCCTCTCCTGTGCTGCTCACACCCTCACCCCCTTTCAAATCCATACTCAAATGCACTCGCAGCCTTTCTAACAATACACAACGTCCCCCCCTGGATGATTTTCTGTCTCATGGAAGCTTCGCGATGGGGGGTCTCATCTGTCCTGCTCCCTGTGGAACCTTGCTTGGCCCACAGTAGGTGCTTCACTATTTACTGAATCAGTGCATGGATTTTTCTTTTGGGGGAACACACTGTCTCATTTTTGCTCCTCCCCCTTCTGAAATTTGGGGGTCACAGAAAGCCCAGGTCCTTGAGGGTAGCTGCCTGGACACCACCCCATTTCCTAATTGCTGTAGCTCCCCAGGACTTATCCCAGTGACTGGCACATAGTAGGTGCTCAATAAAGAGAAGACTGAATGACCCAAATTGACACGCAACAGTGTTCAAGGTGGGGCACTGGGGGGCGTGGCTGTAGGATATACTTTTTGTATTGAGGAGTGGAGTCTCTGCTTCCTGACCATCATGTGACCCACTTCCCTCCAAAGCACTCTCAGCCATGATGTCCTGCCTCACCTCGAGCCCTGAGGAATGGAGCCAGCTGTCTGTGGATTGAGACCTCTGAAACCAGGAGCCCCCAAATAACTCTTCCTCCTCTACATTCCACAGTGAAAAAGCTGACTAAAACAACGTGCAGGGCTGTTGCCATACATTACTGTGGCAGCCAGGCTGAATGATTTCGCATTCTCCTTCCCTGAGCGGCGAGGCTCTGACCATCACTACATCTTGGAGTGACCTGGACATTGCCCTAGTCACGGAGGTTGAGGACACATCTTCAGACGTAGGCGTGTGGCCCCATGGATTGAGCTACGCTCACCTGTTCCTTTGTGATATTACCCCTTTGCCCTGTTTGGAGTAGAATGTTCCATGGAAATACCCTTTGTTTGTCCCCTTCTCTTGCTCTGCCCTTGGGTGTGGCCTCCATAGATGTCAGTCAACCTGCTGACAGTAGACATCATGAAGCTAGACTCAACCCCTGAAACCTGACCCCTTGCCTCATTTGAATGGCTTCTCCCTAGTAAAAAGGTTTAGTATGTGTGTGCTCTCTCTCTCTCTCTCTGCAGACCCTTAAGGTCAGAGGAACCGTCACAGGACCCTTAAGAAAAAGGTCTCTCTGTCTCTTTATGGTTATTTCGTGCAGCCCAGTTCCCCTGGAGTGACCCTGAGGGTTTTAGTCTCGAGGATCGCAACAATTACTCATTCTTCAGAGTCAGTGCACGACTGTCAAACTATACCTTTCCAGGAGGGCTTGTCACATAACAAGCACAATGGCCTGCCGGGCACTTCCCCAGAAGTCCTTTCACCAGTGGGCAGATGGAAAAGCCCAATCCCAGGTTTGGATGCGCCCAAGAATCTGCATTTTCCACAAGTTCCCAGGGAAGGCTGGTCTGGTCTGCGGACCACACTTTAAGAAACACTCTTTTATAGAGAATCCTCTTAGTTTTTCTACTCTTCTTATGCAAAATTGGTCATTTTTTAAGAAAAAAGCCAAAAAGGTTAACTTGCTCAAGGTCACAGAGCCCTGAGTGGCAGAGCAGGTTTGGACGTAGGTCTGTCCACCCCAGCTCCCAACCATGGCCCACTCCCTGTGCCTTTCCAGCGAGGCCCAGCCCAGCCGTGAGCACATCCCTGACCTCACAGCCCTGAGCAGAGAACAGAGGGAGCGTTTGCATTTTTATGGGGCTCATGAGGTGGCATGCGCTAAGTCCTCATTGTACATGCGGGACCCTCACACAACAGCCCCCTCTACCCTATCGCGACAGCAGCAGGGAGGACAGGAGCCTCCTCATCCGGGAGGTTTCAGTGGGCGGGGCCTGGAGATGGTGACATCACTTCTGCTCAGTCCCATTGGCCAGAACTCAGTCACGTGAGCACAGCTAACCGCAAGGGACCCTGGGAGGTGTACCCGGTGGAAACCTGAAGTGGGGCTGGCGGGCCACACCAGGCCTCTCCCTAGGGTTTTCGAGAGCGGGGTTGTCATTAAACCTCTAGGAGGTGCTAGCACCGCGGCTGGACTGCCGAGCTGGGTGCGCCCGGGCCTCCTGGCCCTGGGCACGATGCTTCCCATCCTCCCGGGGAAGAGCGGGGAAATCAAGGGCAGGAAGGCGGATGGTGTCGAAGGGCCCAGGTCGGGGAGCAGCTTTGGATGGCGGCCGGCCCTGGACCGGGCTCTGCGGCCCTGGACTGGGGGCTGCCACGTCGGCCGCACGACCCGGGCAATCCCTTATCTCCGAGCCTTGGTTTCTTCTAATACCAAGATGGTGACATGGGTCTTGCAGGTTATTTGAAGGAGAAAATCATCTACCCCGTGGGCCGAGCAGGGTCAGTCTGAACGAGCGTCCGAGTCCGGGCTTCGCACCCACCGCTGCACCCGGGGACTACCCGGGAGCGTTCACTGGTCCGTGTCCGGTCTCCATCCTAAGGGTCTGATTCATTTGATAGAGGTGAAGTCCGAGCACAGGTGGGTATTTCATACAAATTCCCAGGTCACTCTAATGTGCTGCCAGCTTGAGATCCACCCTCGATGACTTTGACTTTCAATCAGAATGGACCCATGATGCCAGCCACTCGGGAGGCGGAGGCGGGAGGATTGCAAGTTCACAGCCAGCCTCAGCAACCTAATGAGGCCCTAAGCAACTTAGTGAGACCCTGTCTCAAAAAAAAAATCAAAAAAAAAAAAAAAAAAAAAAAAAATCTGAGGGGTGGCTAAGTGGTTAAGCACCCAGGGTTCGACCCCTAGCACCCAAACAAACAGAACAAAAAACCCCAACCGATTAGTAGAATGCAGCAATGAATAGCTTCTCCTTTATTTTGAGGGAAGGGTTCCAAGATCTCTAATGTGGGAGGAGGCTTCTAAGGTTGGGCTGGGAGTGAGGTTGACCTTGAGCCCCTTCCTGGGTCACCCCCTACCCCTCCCATTGCATCCGTGGTCTGCGGCAGGGAAGGCTCCATACACTTCGGGTGCATCTCAGGGAAAAGTGCCGCTGTGCGGAAGGCCAGCTCTTCACCATCCTGCCTGGTCCTGCAGTTTTGTCTCTGCTCTGCCAAGGGTGGACGGCGCCAAAGCTGACAGATAGCCCTGGCCCCCGCCTCCATGCAGAACAGGGAAGCATGATAATTTCTGAGTGATTACCAGGTGGAACAACTTTCTGCCAGCTAAGGTGACATGTGGCAGTTGGCATTTGAACAGGTCGCTTTACAGGAACAGCAAGAGACAGTAACTGCCACCTTGGGGCTATTACTTTCAGAGAGAGAAGGAAAGCTACAAGCTGATGACTCTGGTTATTCATGCGGTATTTCCCTGGAGGTGAGGAGAGACTGGGCTTTGCGGCAGCAAGAAGAAGCTGGGGACAATCTATTTATTTAACAGGATATTCACTGTGAGCCAGGCACAGTTCTAAGTGTTTTACAGATTTTAACTCAATTAAATCCTTGCCACAACCTGATAAGGTAGTCATCTCCATGTTACAGATGGGCTAAACCAAATGCTCAAGACCCCACGGCTGGTGTGGGGCAGAGCTGGGATTCAGATCCAGGTCATCTGGCTTTAAGGTCACTGCGCAATGCCTAGGGAGACCACCAGTCCCCTGTCCCCACTTGTTAGGGTGTATGAATTGGAAGTTCATATGCCCTCTGTTCATATTTAGAAGTCATAATTCAAGCTAGCAATGCTATTCAAAGAAACATGTTCTGCTGGGCACAGTGGCACACACCTGTCATCCCAGAAGCTTGGGAGGCTGAGGCAGGAGGATCGCGAGTTCAAAGCCAGCCTCAGCAAAAATCAAGGTGCTAAGCAACTCAGTGAGACCCTGTCTCTAAATAAAATACAAAATAGGGCTGGGGATGGGGCTCAGTGGTCGAGTGCCCCTGAGTTCAATCCCTGGTGCCCCCTCACTCCCCACAAAATAAATACCTGGGGGGTATCTCTTTGTAGTGACCCAGAAGGCCAGCCTCGCATCAGGGGTCCATGCTGGAGCAGGCTGGTCAGAGGAGAACTGTGCACGTCTCTAAGGGGTGAGCCCCACTTGCCTGGACCCAGGAGCTGTACTGGTGAGGGGAGGGGAGGCACCAGGCTTCAGCATGCTCCCCTTCTCATAAAGGTGGCCTTGTCACTGAACTTGAGTGATTCCATGACTTCCTGCTAAGTCACTGGGTACGTCCTCGGGCGTGAGCTGCTCCTTCTCACTCCCTGTCTGCTGGCTGTGTGCAGGACGGCACAGGCAATCACACCCTAGACAGGGGCCGGAAAACTGTGGCCCCTGGGCTGGATCCTGCCCCCACTTGTATTTGTAAGCGAAGTTTCACGGGAACGTAGACACGCCCAGTCCTTCCTGTTGCTCTTGCTGCCGTCAAACAACACAGAGCTAAACAACTGTGACAGAGACCACAGAGGCAAACATATTTACCATGTGACTCTGCAGGAAAAATGTGCCCTGGAAGATAGAGGAGCTGGTTCTGAGTAACACCCAGAAGGCTGCGTGGCAGCCAGGCATCTCCAGCTGCAAGAAGTCCATGTTTTTTCATGTAAATCTTTGATGTCTTGTGGTTTACTTACTAAGGCAACCGGTATTATTTATGGCAATGAATATAACGCCTGGCAGGTTGTGAGCAAGCAGATGATAACTCCTTCCCCGACGCTGTAGTTTTATACTCACGGTATGCTCTCGTGGTATCAGTCAGCTTTCTGTTACTATGACAGATGGCTGAGATGATGATAAACTTATAAAGAGAAAAGGTTTCTTTCGCCTCATGGTTTGGAAGTTTCAGGCCACTTTCGGTTGGCTCATATACTGTTGGGCCTGTGGTGAGACAGCACATCATGGAGGGAACGCGGGGTGAAGGAAGCTTCGCCTCGTGGCAGCCAGGAAGCCAAGTGAGAGACAGGAAGGGGATGACTCCCATTATGTCTTTGCGGGGCATACCCCCAGTGACCTCTGACCTCCTTAGCCCGATCTTGCAAACCACACCACCTTCCGGTTGTACTGAGCTGAGGACTGAGAGGGTTTTGTTTGGTGCTTTGAGTGGGGTCTTGCTAAGTTGCCCAGGCTGGCCTTGACCCTCCTCCTCCTGCCTCAGTCCCCAGGGCTGTGCTGGGACGCATGGCCGGGCAAAGTCCCCTTCCTCTCTGTCCCTCAACACGGGGTGTTCTGTTATCCGTCCCCAAATAGCCTTGGTCAGCAGAGTTCCGTGGACAGGAGCTGAGCTTGGGTCAGGCTGCGAGACTTCAAGTCCTGGTTGAGTGACCACTTGGAAGTGGTCAGTGACGCACTCCCCTCTGCCTCAGATTCCTCATCTGGAAAATGGGAATCAGGATCCGGTCCCCCCCATGGTGTGGTGTGGGAATAAGGTGAATCAGGAGACTTAGGAAGGGCACCTGCTGCAGGCGGGGCTCAGCAAGGTCACGCGACGTCCTCGTCAGGTCCTCTCTGTCTGTCTGTCTGTCTTGTGTGCCAGTCAAGTGCTCGGCCACCGAGCTGCACCCCAGCCCTGGCCTCCCTGTTCGGTCACTGCTCTGGTCACAGCTTGTGTGACACGTGGCCGTGGAAGCCCCTCTCCAGCGCTGGGCCGGGCACTTGAGGACCCGGCTCTCGGGGACATTCTGGACGAAGCGCTGCCCGGGCCCATCCTCTGTCCTGGGCGGTGCCTGGGGAGGGTCCAGGGCCAAGGGGAAGCCCTAAGGCGTGGACCAGGCCAGCGACTGGTCCGAGGAGACAGACCGGAAGCTGCGAGTCCAGACGTGTGGGCCAAGGGTCCCCTGCGAACCCCGCGCGGCCAGCTCCCTAGGGAAGAGGGACGACAATGGCTGGGCAGGTGGCTGGGTTCTAGAGCGCTGCAGCCAGACCAGGGCTGTCCAGGCAGGTGGGCCGCCGCCACATGCTCAGGTGGACACCTGTTCCTACCCTCTGCAGCGAGGGGCGACCCAGCCGGGCTCACGGGGCCCTGGTGCGGGTTTCCCGGGGCCATCTCTGGGCAACTGCGAGGAAAGCCGCGGCCTGTCCTGACCTGTGGGGCGTGTCCCCACCGACAGAGGGCGCCGAGGAGCACAGGGGTGGGTGGGGAGAGCCGGTGGCCAACGCCCTTTGCCCCCCAGAACCTGGAGTCTGGCCCTGGGTCCAGGCCCAGTTCTGCTTGTGTAGCAGCGCTGGTGAATAATAGCAATTGTAATAATGGTGACCAACACTGTTGAATCCCTCAAGGGGCCCTGAGAACAGTCCGAAAAGGTCACCTATGACTCTCATCCCCATGACAATCCTGGGAGGCAGGATTTTTATAAGATAAAACTCCTAAAAATATGAGTTTTATTTTACATATGAAGAAACCAAGCCTCAGAGAGGTTAATTAGCTCACCCAAGGTCACACAGCACAACCAAAGATTCAAATCCATGTGGATTGCAGAGCCCAGACTCTTCAACTGAGTTCTTTACCTCTGTGGGCACTTGCTGATTTAGACACTGGAAGGAGGGAGGGCACCTGGGCATTTATGACACTCGATTTGGCCCAATCTTCCTACTAAGAAGTGTATTGTTCAAGGTTGTGCATCCCAGCTGGCGTGGTGGCAGTGGAGAGATCCCTGGGCTGGAGAATATAAGCATTTGCTCTCTAGTGATCAAAGGGAAAGAAACAGACTGAGCTCCTGTCCATAGGCTGAGGAAAGAGCCCGGCAGAGTGACGCATGCCTGTCATCCAGCGGCTTGGGAGGCTGAGGCAGGAGGATCGAAAGTTTGAGGTCAGCCTCAGCAACTTAGCAAGGCCCTAAGCACCTCAGTGAGACCCCCTCTCTCTAAATAAAATATCAAAGGGGCTGGGGAGGTGGCTCAGTGGTTAAGTGACCCTGGGTTCAATCCCTGGTACTAAAAAAAAAATAAAACACAAGGCTGGTGACACAGTGTCCCCTCCCCCTTTGTCACCCTCCTTATTTGTTTTGCTTACTGTGGTCATCGCTGCACCCCCACCCCGTCCTTTATAACCTCCTGCTCACCATGGTCCCCGTGGTCACCGCTGGCTCACCGTCCTTACGTCATGACCAGGACGCTGCCCATCAATGACCCTGGGCAGCAGCACCACCAGCACCAAGCCGTGGCCAGGCTGTCGGTGCCACTGGGACCCCTCACACCACTCCGTGTCCCCGGGAGCCCGGCACACGGCCCTCACTGTCCCTCACAGCACCAACCCGCGGCCCTCTGGCTCACCACGCCCTTCACAGCGCTGCCCGTCTGCTCTGCCCATGGTCACTGCGGCCACCTCGGCTGCTAGGGTTTGGATCTGGACGGTCCCCAGAGGCTCCTGTGTGGAAGGCCTGGTCCCCGGTGCCGCGGGGCTAGAGGTGGCCTTTGGAAGGCGACCTCAGCAGCGGTTAATCCACTGGAGGGCTCCTGTGGGAGGGGGCGGGAGGGAGGGTGTCCCTGGGGACACCCAGGTGGCCTGGGAAGGCGTTTCCTGCCCCTGGTCCTTTCCCTTCCCTCCCTCAGCCGGGAGCTGACCAGCCTCCTGTGCACTGGCTTCCCCTCCGCCATCACGTCCTCCTTCACTTGGGCCCAGGAACAACGGAGCCCCCGAGCAGGGACGGAAACTCTGCAGCCCTGAGCCCAGCCAACCTTCCTGCTCTAAGGGGCTTTTCTCAGGCATTTTGTCACAGCAACAGAACGCTGAGTGGCCCACCCCCTCTGCCACGCCACCATGGCTGATATTTGATCGTCACCAAAACAACTCAAGTGGCGGAAGTCTTGAGTCTCTTCTGCAACTCGAGGCTGGTGCTGAATGTCCAGTGTGTGAATGGAGCCTGGGACTGGGCCACCATCATTCCCAAGGCCACTTGCTGGTGGCCCTCTTTAATGATGTATTCGTGGACACTCCCTGCTGGTGGCTTTGGGTGGCACAGAAGCTTGTGAGATGTCTGAGTCACTCAACACCCAGACATGCCACAGGACCCTGCTGCTGCCGTCCCCATTGTCCCCAGGGGGCGGAGCCTGCAGACAGACCCCTTGGGCTCTGCTTGGGGTCAGCACCGTCCGGGCCCCTTCCTTCCCAGATCTTTGAAGCCTGTCGTTGGCCCTCCTGCTCCTGGCTTCAGGGCCTCCCTGCCCGGTGACGTCACTAACCATCAGCACATGTGCGTGGGGGTACGAGCCTTCATTAAGTAAACGCCTCTTGGCTCCAAACACAAGATGGGAAGAATGTGCTTCCCACGGCCCAGGTTGTGTGGGCCTCTGGAAGGCCACTGTCTTTGGGGGACTGGTGGGGATTCTGAGGAAAGCAAGTGACCTCCCACCCGGGCTGCAGAGGGGAGAGGGGCCGAGCCCAGCCCGCGCCTGAGCCTGGGCCATCTCAAGAGCTTGCAGCTGAGGGTTGGAGGTGCGGGGTGGACCCTTCCTGGCCTGCTCCCCTCTCGTCCCTGCCCTATGCCTCTGCCCACCGCTGGGTACTGACCTGCTTTCCCACTACCCAGCTGCATAGCTGACTTTGGTGCCTCGGTTTCCCCAATCTGCTCACAGTCCTGGTCATCGTGACTGCACCAGCGCCAACACCCCAGTGCTAATCGTGACAATCGTCAGCGGATGCAGGGGCGGGATTCAGTGGCCCCGTGGCCGTTCTGACATGTCTTGAATGAGTTAACGACGGTCCTTTCCACCGCTCCCAGAGCTCTGGGAGGGCCCGACAGGGCAGTGGGGAGACTGAGGTCCAAATCCTAGCTTTGCTGCTTACTAGCTGTGTGACCTTGGGCAAGATGTACAACCTCTCTGTGCTAGGAAAACCAGGGGTACCACAGGAAGCGGGGCCTGGAGCAGGGAGAGGCCACTGAGGCAGAAAAGGGGACAGCACTGTCACCAACCCGAGGGTGAGGGGCTCTTCTGTGTCACCTTGGTTCCTCAGAAGCCAGGAGTGTCCAGGCTGCTCCGGGGTCACAGGCCGAGCAGTCCCATCACAAGACCCCTGTGGGGGCCCCTGAGAGGGGTGAGAGACATGTCAGTGCTCTGCGTCTCTTTATCTGGTGCTCGGACGCGCCCAGGGCCTCTCCCCTGCTGGGCAAGGGCTCTACCTGAGCTCCCTGAACCCTCCTTCTCCTTGGGGCCCTTCCTTCCCACTCTAGAGGCAGGAGGTTGCTCAGGCTTCCCTCCAGCTGGGGTGCAGGACCTGGACCCCGGGCACGGGGCGAGGGAGGGCCTGGCAGTGACCGGTGGCCGTGGTCTTGGCTGGAATATTCTCCTTGCAGTGTGATTTGGGGACCGTTCCTGGTCTCGGGGACGCCGACCTTGATGCCTGGGCTCGTCTTGTGACCTAAACCAGCCATGGTGGGTCCCGTTGCTGGCCACCAAGAATCTTATCAGCACAGGCAACACGAGGGGCCTCTCAGGGCAGGAATGTGCCCGAGCCGTGAGCCGGGGGGCAGTGGGTAAGCGGAGAGCCATCCGTGAGCTGGTCCTGGACCCCCCAGATGTGCTCCACCCCACAGATGTGCTCTCTTGGAATTTTTATGACATCCGCCTCCCCCCCCCTCCCAGTTCCAGATGGTGGGTCCCCTCCCGTCCCTTGGGTGGTTTCCAGGGAAGGGTTCATGGCCAGCTGGGCGGACATGCCCCCGAGGCGGCCTTGGCCACGCACATTTCTATCTCCAGAGCCAGAGAGGCCACTGGGATCTTTTTGGTGGCTCCACTCTGTGTCTGGAAAGGGCCCAAAGGGAAGATCCTGACCCGCGCTGGGCCCCGTGGCTCTGATCCGAGGGCACAGTGACATGGCAAATTCAAGGGAGAATCAGTTTCCTTCTCTGCGCCCCCCTCGCCATCCCAGAACACCACTCACCGGTGACATTGGGGGTCTGATGTGGGCATGTGCCTGGCGAGGTCCCAGCTGCTCCCGGGGACTCTGGGGGGCCTTCGAGTTGACGTGAGTACCTGGAGAGACCCCAGAGTGCCTCTGATGGGAAGCATTAGAACTCCGGAGGCCAGAGGTGCTTTTAAAAGAAAGTAAATTGGAGTCATGGCCGCTGATCAGGCCACCAGGGCTGGGGACTCCAGGTCACATTGCCACTTACTCTACATCCAACCAGGTATGGGCTGGAGAAGCCCCACTGTCCCCAAATGCCAGATCACGGCAGATGGCCACTTTTTTTGACCCTTAATGGTGTTCTGGGCTCTATGTCGGCGGAGAGTCCCAAGCGGGAACTTGCAGAGCAAATGGGGCTTTTCACAGATCTCGAGTTTCCTGAGGGACAGGCACCTGCTCTGATGAAGAGGAGGCTTGACCGTGCCTCACTGGCCTGGGGACGGCCCTGACCCAACATCCTCGCCTCTCCACTAAGCATCCACTCGCTCCGGGTGGCCCGTGTGCCCTGATCACGCTGATGTGCACACGCGCGTAGGAGCAGTCACGTGGGCGTGCAAGGAGAGCCCTGGACTGGCTTCCCTCCTTCTCCAGCCCCCGCCTGATGGGAAGGGGAGTGTCCCCTAAGGATTCCTCAGAGAGCTGCCCAAGACCCTTAGCTTCCGGTCCTTCCTGTGGTCTTGCCTGTAGCCTGCAGTCACCCTCTTCCTTTTCTGGATCTCCAAAGTCACCAGATGCCTCCTCCTGCTTCTCAGCACCCTTTGGTCTTTCCCACGCCCTTGTCCATCTGGAACATTCCAGCACATCCCTCCTCTCTGACAGCCCCTCTGGGGTGCCTATCCAGGGTCCACTTCCGCTTCTGAAGCCAGAGTGGTAGGGCCGGGGGAGGGAAGTGGGCGAGATGCTCAGCTGAACCTGCCTGAGCTCAGGGGGAGGGGGGCCACGTGATGCAGACCCGGCCAATGAGACGCGAGCGCGGCTGTCCCTTCCCCTCCCGCCCTGCGGACCGTCTGGAGCCAGGAGACGCCTGGGGCAGAGGGGAGGGATGGGGTCAGGATCTGGTTTCCTCCTCCCCCTGCAGATGGGGCTTTGGACTCAGGCAATCTGGGTTCAAGCTGGGCTCTTGCACAAAAAAATAGGCTGGAGGTGTGACCTCAAGCCTGGGAACAGAACAGCAAAGTCCAGAGCACCACGGACCTGCCCCGAGGCCAGAACTTGCTGACCTTTCTCCCCGCCTCACAGTGAGGGCACACAGTAGGCGCTTAACAGATCTGTATGCAGTGAGCACTTGTACAGGTCTTAGCAGAGTGACACGTCCAGGAAATCTGGCTTAAAAATAGAATGAATACCCGTTGCAGAGGCGCACACCTGTACTCTCAGCGGCGCGGGAGGCTGAGGCAGGAGGATCGCGGGTTCAAAGCCAGCCTCAGCCACTTAAGGAGGCGCTCAGCCACTCTGTGAGACCCTGTCTCTAAATAAAATACCAAATAGGGCTGGGGATGGGGCTCCGTGGTTGAGTGCCCCTGAGTTCAATCCCCGGGTACCCACCTCCCCCTAACCCCCAAATGGAGCGAACAGCCCAGCAATATTCAGGGTCCAATTTCATATGGGACAATGAGGCAGCCAGGACAGAGAGGGGTATCTGGTGCCCCCCGCCCCACGTCTCCCCACGAAGCAGATCAGCTTTCAAATTTACACCCGGACTTCCTTCTTGAAGCTCTGCATTATTTAAGACTACATTTCCCAGAGGGATGAATGTAAAGCAAGATCTGTATTATTTCAAAATCTGAGCATACAGAGAGGCTCTATGAATATTTTTAAATCGCCCCATTTCCAAATCACATCATGCAAATTTGCCTAGACTGGGATGTGCTGTTTTGGAGGGGGGTCGTAGAGACGCTTGGGTGGACGGGAAGGTTTCTGAGATTAAAAAAAAAAAAAATTGCAGCCTAGTACTTGCCTCCCAAATCTGCGGTGTGGCTGCATCAGAGGTGGCTAGTCACGGTCATTAGGTGTTAAAAGTGGTTAATGTGTCAACATTGAAGAATGATTTGCTTTAACAAAATTGCAGCTGATTTCAGAGTCATTCCAGGGACCGGCGTGAATTATTGAAAAATTAATTGGTGTCTGTTTTCCCTTTTTCTCTCTTGGGCATGGGACCCTACCAGGAAAGGGTCCCCGTTTGCTGTCGGGGGGCATTGTACGTCGATGTGAGCACATCAGTAGAGACATGTCCCCAATTGCTCACTTGAAACTACTCTCACTTGTTATGGACCCTGTTTTACAGATGAGGAAGCAGAAGCACAGAGATGTTTAGCAACTTGTTCAAAGTCACACAGCCAGTGACAGGCAGAGGCAGGCTTTGGGTGTAGGCAGGGAGCTGTCAGTCTGTTCTTGGCTCCCTCCGTGCCTCTCTACAGCCTCAGGCAGAAACTGGAAGGATGCTGACCACAGAACTGAAGCCTGAGCCCTTTCTAATTAGTTTGGACCAAATCCTGGGATGTGTGTAAGATCCACAGAGAGGAGAGAACTCGGAGCAGCCTGGATTGCGTTCACTGCCCGCACTAACGGGGCTGTGAGTCGATGTAGAAATATAAGAAAATGGGGCCTCTCTGGCTCCCCGGGAGCTCTAGGGCCATCCATCCCTGTGGCCCCAGTAAGAATGTCCAGGGCTCCTGATTATATTTTGATATGCATTCTTTTTAATTTAGTTTTATTGGAATAAGTGCGAGGCTGTATGTGCATAGTTTGAAAATCAAAACAATACCCACGGGCGCGTCTATAAAAGCACAACCGCTCCTTTTTCTTCATCTGTTGTCCTCCTCCCTCTTCCTCTCTCCCCACTTTTTTTTTGGGGGGGGGTGGGTAGCAGGGATTGAATCCAGGGGTGCTTAGCCACTGAGCCACATCCCCAGCCTTCTTTTATTTATTTATTTTTAAAATTTGAGACAGGGTCTCGATGAGTTGTTTAGGACCTTGCTAAGTTGCTGAGGCTGGCTTCGAACTCTCGATCCTCCTGCCTCAGCCTCCCGAGCTGCTGGGACGACAGGCGTGCGCAACCCCGCCCGGCTCACGTGCAATGCTTTTTTGTATTTTCTTCCAGGGGCTCTTTATGCAAATACGAGCAACAGACATCATGTTCTGTCCTTTACTGCTGTGGCTGGCTCTGGGCCATACTCAATGCATTTTTGACTTAAGATGTTTACAACTATGGGTTGATCAGGGGGTAACCCTAGGGTAAGTGAGGGAGCCTCTGCACTAGGGTTTTATCCTCGAGTTCTAGAGTTGTCTGAAACATATATGCACATGTGTATATTTATATAAATGGGCCGTCTTCAGTGCATCACTAAAGGGAAAGGAAATGGATCCTGTCGCAGCCACCAGGATGGAAACTGCACATAAGTCCCCACCCTGGACCCATCCAGCGTCTCAGGCCCCACGGCCGCTGCATTTGAGTCTGCATTGAACAGCACCCCCCCACCCCGCCCCCCACTTCCTAGGCACTGAAAAGTTTGAGTGGCACTTCCCTCCTGGGCGGCAAGAGGGAGTCTCACCCACCCTGAACCTCAGAGGAGAGGCGTCTCTGTGACTCTTCAAGGTCCTGTCACCCAGTGGAGGGGAGGCAGCCTCCAGGGACAGTCGTGGGAAAAGAATCACTTGGCCCCTCGCTGTCACTCATCCCAAAGGGCATTGGCTGTCAGGGGCGTGGTACGTGGGTGTGAGCACATCAGTAGAGACATGTCACCCATTGCTCACTTGAAACTAGTCTCGCCTTTGAAAAATACAAAGTCACCCACCCCACGATGCCCCAAAGCAGGGGACCCAGGCTACCTCTTAGCAAGCTAGTCTAGGAGCCAGGACTTGAAAGAGTCAGGACTGGGAGAGGAGGAGCCAGGGTGTGTGTGTGGCGAGGAGCGGGCTGGGAGGCCGGTTTTATGGAAGGCGAAGGTTTGCATCCTGTGGTCCACCCAGTCCCCTGGGCCACAGCGCCTGGCTGGGAGGGAGAGGAAGCGGAGCCGCGGCGCCCCCTGGTGGCCCACCTGGGTACTGAGTAGAAAGGCGCTTGGGTTGCAGGGGTAACCCAGGAAATAAGGAGATAATTGCAGGCTGCGGAGGGGCTACATA